TTAGTTACTTAACGTATTTTACGATTTTCCTACCATTATAACTAAAAAAATGCATTGTAGCCAAAAATGAAAAACAACCTCAATAATGTAACTCAGACTTAAAAATAATGAAGCAAAACTCGACAAACTTCATGACGTCTACTACTACGACACTCATGCACACAAGATATCAAGCAAAAGGGTTAAAATAATAATTTCTATAAGTTAAAAGTTAGGGTATTGAAACTCAAAATAAAAAAAGAGGTTTGGGTAAAAGATATCAAAGAAAGGATATAAAATTAAATAAATCAGTAAATAAAAAAAAAAATAATAATGTGCATATAATCCTGATGAAACTCTGCGAAAAAATGATATTATTATTCGATATAATTTATAATTTGTAAAGTTCTCTGCTAAAAGAAAACTTGGTATTAATTAACGTGAATTTTTATTAAAATAATAAATAAAATAAATAATAATAAAATAATAAATAAAAAAAGAAAACTTGGTATTAATTAACGAGAATTTTTATTAAAATAATAAATAAAATAAATAATAATAAAATAATAAAAATAAAAAAGGATACAAAAACTGTAAAATATAATAAGCATCACAATATAATTATACAAGTCATGCAACTTTTAAAATTCTTATAATAACAATGTTTATCTGAATAATTGTTAGTAACAAAAGTTTGGAAATTTGAATAGTTATATAAAAAAATGGTTAGGTTAAATTAGATACAAAAATGGAATAATTAAATAATATTATTTACATAAAAAATTAAAAAAATAAAAGTTAATATTCTTTGAAAATATAATCACAAGCAAATAACTATGCAATTGCAATAAATAAAAGCAATAATTTAGGTCTAGTCATAGAACGAGAGCACATCCGACACCAATACATGATGCGGAAAATCTAGAATAACTCATTTGGATTAAAAGAGATACACCTACATTCACATCATATTTCACAAATGCTTACAAATTAGAGAAAACAGCAGTGTAATATTTTATTATAAATCTATTATAGTAAAAAATTGCCACAGTTAAAAATCAAAATATTTGTCGATATTATTTTGTGAACTTCATAATATTCAGAAACAATGATAATAAAGATTACTTATTAAGAGCAATGATTTTATACGTTTTCATTTACATACTAGTCTACATATGTATAAGCAAATATCACAATACCATGATTGATTTCATAAATCAAATGATTTTGATGAATATTCCTTCCGACGAATCCGTAGAATATGTAGTCTCGCGAATCCAGCGCAGAACCTAGTCACGCCTCGTATACAGGATATATACACATTTTAAATTAAAATAAATTATTTATTCATAACAACATTACTATAAATATTCTAAACAGTATTAATTTACGTGAAATGAACACTACTGTAGCTCTCTAGACACTGAGAATTTTTTCAACTTATCGACCGATAACCGAGTGCGATATTTATCGATTAATTATTGCTGAAAATTACATCCGTTCAAATTGTAAACTAATTCTTACAGTGAGACAAACCGATTGTTCTATTTCGTTCAATGAAAACATACATTCAAAACTCGAAGCAGTAACCCAAAATATTTTCTCAGCATAGCGCAGAAAAAATTTAACTAAATTCTCATAGCAAGATATTTCATATACAACGAGCTAGAAGAATTTATGAATTATATTTACGTATTTCAGCTTAGCAAAAAATCACGTTTCATAATAATATTTTACATTATGGAATGTCAATAAGTAATTAATGATAAGTTCACAGAATATTATGTAAAATTGTACGAATCGCCCTTAAATTTTTCGATAATTAATTCTGTTGCAAACATTACATAATTGGACAGAATTTAAGCGGGTATTCTAGTGCAAAAATTCCTAAAAATCGTCTTTTTGTTTTATTTCAAAATTTTAAAGCTTAACTAATCGAAATATGTGTACGAGAAGATTTTTAACCTCCCGTAGGGTAAGATGTAGTAATCGCAAAAAATGGAAAATGAAAAGTTTTATATATCTTTACGTTTCAAGGGTTTTTGAACATTTTGGCATATCTTAGAAAAAATGTATGTATGTGTGTGTGCGGATACAAATTTTCGTCGACGATTTCGGGAACACCAATTAACCGATTTAAATAATTCAAAAAACATTCTATTCGTATTGATAAGGAGACGTGCTGATTAGTTTTTGGCAAAGGCAAGTCTAGCCGTTCCGAAGATACGGGGCAAAAAGTACCAAAAACAATAACTCAGTTTTTAAGAGAACGGAGCGTCCGATTTTAATAATTCAAAAAACATTTTACTTGTATTAACAAGATGAAAAACTGATTAAATTTTCTCAATAAAAAAAAAAAAGTTAAAAAACTGTCATATGGCGGTCAAAAATGTTTATTGGACATATGTACATCAAATTATCAGATATTTTCTAAAGATTTTAATAATGAGTACACATCTGGTATGTATTTTTTTTGGAATCCGTGCCTAGATTTCTAATTACGGTACGGGAAGATCCAGAAATTTGCCTTAAGGCATGTTGCTATGCACCCCACTAGTTTAAAATTTAAATTATTATCGGAGATTCAGCTATTTGAACATGATAATCCTCATTTACTTGAAATTTTCAGTTAGTCTTCTTTATAGACTTCTCTCTGGCATATACTAGCCTCATCCCAACTTTCAATGTTTATTTTAAAAAAAAAATGAGGAACTCAAAAAAGTGGTAAAATAGTCTTTTTTAAAATTATTAACTTAAACCTAGTATATGTCATTGGGACATCATTCTAGATTAATAATCCATTTTTTATTTTGGATTACTAGGAGGGTTGCAATAGTGGGCACTTCAACCACTGCTAATTTTTAAAACTATTCACTTTTTTGTTTTATTTTTTTTCTGTACTCTTGTAACCTTGATGAAGAAATTGTAAATAAAATAATAATAAAAAAACGTATTGCCTTTCTTAAGATAATTTAAAAATGATCTAAAATTTTTGCCTCTACACTAGAATACCCCCTCCTCAAACCAAAATTCCGAATAATTTTTATCATGATTTGTTGTGTTTAAAATACTTATTATTATCTTATTAGAATCTATCGATTATGTATGCACGCAAGTATTTGAGCAAGTGTACATGTGCATAGTGTACACATTCATAAATAGAAAAATGTACAATGAATGTAAAATGTTTATTAACATAAATGAATAAATATCATGAATTTTTAGCAAAGTTTATTTAGGGATTAAAGCCAAATTATCATTAGCAATCAGCTTGCTAAAAATTGATACATACACATCACATTAATATTTAGAAAATTTATCAAATTTTTTCAGATATCCAACGATGATTTAATCCTACAATGAAAATATCAATGGAAAAAATATACATAATATCACAAATATCTTGAGAATTAGGAGCTTTATAGGTCCATTTAATCAGTTCTTTCGTAATTATTATGAGAGCAATACCTAATATTAAGTTATTATAAAAATATGTGCATTTCAAGTAGCAAAAAAAGTACTGGATACAAATTAAAATATTTCCCCAAAATGCGTTTGCGCAAATACAAATACATTATATAAATTATCTTATAATCGCAGCAGACTGAACTTTTATTATCTTTTGTGTTTTTACCAATTGTTATCCAAATATACAACTAGTACATAAAATTTATTTTTATTTTTTTTTTAATTTTAAATTTTTAAATTTTCGTCAAATGTGATGTATATGCATCATTTTAATTTTAATATCCAGAATATTTTTTATCAACAAATAGAATTCGCATATTATTTGTGGCTGTGATATACACCAGCGTAACAGTTGTCCAGGATTTCAGAATAATAATTTTATTAATCAGATTTGAACGTTTTGTGATATTTTTAGTAACATCTACTTATACATGATCAAGCAACAACTATTTGGATTTGCCAAGAAAAAAATGTATTGAGCTATTGCTCTCACGCTTGAACATTTGTCAACTTCGATTGTTGTTCGAACAAATACGTAAAAAATAAACAAATACTAAATGATTGTAGAAAAAATCCATTTCACATTAAATATTGAAAAGAATGACTTTGAACAAGTTCCAAGTACGAGGCCAAGTCAAGGACATATACGTAATAAAACTATCAAATAAAACAAATTATATACATTATCCATATTTTAGGATAAACAATTCATAAATTACTCCTCAGGAGCCATTATTATCACTCACAACACCATAATACACAAAAAATTATACCAAAAAATAGCACCATGAAGACAATCTGTCACATATCAAAACCTCACAAACCAATTTCACGGCTTAACAATGAATCAATTTCTCATCGAAACAAACTACTTATTAGTGATCAAAATTACAAAAATAAATTAAAATAAACGTATTTGCAAATTAAATTTCAAGGAAGACTTATAACCTTTATAAGTACTCTTGCTCAATTTAATAAAGTGCTTACCTTATGTACGTTTGGCACAAAAACTCTACACAAGTGTTCTTAATGCACATAAGAGAGAACTGTTTTACACACCATTTGGAAACTTTAAATCTACTTTAATCAAATATCAAAAATTATCATAACATGGCTAGTCAAATATGTAAAATATTTTTCTTAGATGTATTGTCTATGCTTAGCTGACATTTTGTGCAGTACCAACATCAAAGATTGGTGAACATGCGCGATTTGGTCATAGGCGGGAGTTCAAAGGATTTGAATATGAACAATGTTGATAACATGTTTATTTATCTATATTTATTTTTATTTATCTGTGATTGATAATTTATTGTAAACAAATTGGTCTTTCCATATGGAACATATAGAATTTCGCGGGTTATTCATAAACGAATATAATTTCTTCAATAGGTTTCAGAATAAAATTTCAATTGAAGAATTTGGAATGAAATAATACTCTAATTTTTTTCAACAATTTTTTTTATTCAATGATTTGTAACAATTAACTCGAATTAGTAACAATTAATTAATTTAGATTGTAATGTATAATACAATTTATCAAGCAAAATGATTTATTTATTTTGCTGATCCAAAAATTGCTGTAAAAGTGAATTTTCAATGGGGATTATCAAATGTTCTATACCATCAGCTGTACGTTTCATTTTGATAAGTTTATGATCTACAAATTCTGTTAATTGGGCACGAAGAGCCAGAACAGAACTAACAAGAAAAGCTTCTCGACAGCTCCCATATAAATCCTTGAATGCTATTCCTGAAAACGTAGTTAAAATATTACTGACTGCTCAAAATTTTAATATTACTGAATTAGAAAAAATAAATATTTACTGGATTTAATGCATATTATTTTCTGTGAATTACAGTAATACTCACCTTGATAATGTTGGTTATCTTTATTATCAAGCTGATGTTTTGCGATCATAAGATATATGCCACGGGAATTGCTAGTTAGAGATTCGAACACATTCTTTAATGAGGATAGAGCTAATGCTCCTGAATTATTTACTAGCAAAGATCCTTCAAATGATGTTTCATAAGAATAAGGTATGAAAGATGTAGCATCAAACCAACAGTAATTAAAAGAACTCAACTTCATATGATCCCATACTGAAAAATAATATTTTAAAAATAATTGCTTAATAATAAAAATAAAAACTGTGCTGAGAATCTTGCATGCAACTTTAACAGTATAAAATATGTAAATCTAGCTTCCATTTATAGGCATTTGATAAGTTAACAATTCATAAAATGCTAAATAGTATTTTGAAATAACAAAAAGACATGCAAGATTCTTGTACAAAGTTAACAACTTACATAGTGGTGCATTTAAGTGATCAATTGAAGCCAATAAATGAATTTTGTCTAGCTTGGCAAGTCTTGCTAATACATTTTGTGATTTATTATTTCTCAACATAGGCCCATCAATATTATGAACAATGAGATATAAGTGCCCGTATTTCTTCTGTTTCAAATGTGCTTCAACAAAGTCAACTATTTCATGAGTATTTGAACTACTTATAGTTAATTCTAAAATTTCTAAAATGCTGTCTAATATGTCTTTAATAGTGAGGCTTGGAAAAAATCCATTAACTATAACAACATCTTCATTCATCAGTTCACAATTATAAAATTCAGTTAAAATATTTCGTTTTGATCCCAGTCCATATAACATAATATTAAATCCTTCATTTAATACCAACAGCCACTTTGGAAATTGTTTTTTAATCTCCTCAAACAGATCATTTAAAGCTGTTTTATGACTTTCTGTTAATTTTAATGATTTTAATAGTTTTTGTATTTCATCTTGTGAAAGTCGTGGGTTTTTCAATTTATCCAATGTATGATTAGAAGTGACCACCTGAAATATAAAAATGTTATGCAAATACTAAAGCTGCAGCCTATAAAGTTTGAGTTCTGTAGTGAGTTTATATGAGGTATTCATACCTTGGAACTCACATGGGAAGAGAAATAATTATCAGACTGAGGGGCATAATTTAATTCTTTCTGGGCTCTAGTATTATGAGCTGTTTTCTTTTTCTGAAAAGCAGAGATATCTAAATCATTATATATCAATATAAATCATATTCATCTTTCTTCAGAATTTCATCTCTTACAATCGGTACAATATTCAGATTTCTGACTTTTGTTATTACAACTTCATTATCTGATCCGTTAGAATGTTGATCTTCTTCTGCACTTGAAATTTCTGATGCACTTGATTCGTCTTCAGTTGGATTGAATTCAGATCCACTGTCAGAAAAATCTTCATCGCTATCGCCAATTTCAATTACACGTGAAACAATTTCTGGTAAATGATATTGTATATATAAGATTAAAATTTATTACTTATTATTTAGCAAATAATACAAAATTCTGCTGAATTTAATAAAGCATACTTTAATTACGCTACTTGAAGTCGAAATACAAGTTTGTGAAACAGTGTGTTATAAATTCAAAAATTGTTTGAAACTTCAAAACAATTACAAATTGGCAAAAGATTGTTGTATCATACATATTACTGAATATATTTAAAAAAAAAAACCTTTTTTCATTTTGTGTCGAACAGAAAGAGGTGTTTTGGCACACTCTGAAAGAATTCTGGATACCATATTTTTTTTCGGTGTACCCTCTAACTTCGATATTTGTAAATCTTTAGATGGTGTAACAGCACACGCAGCTTTGCTTGCCATTGCATTTCTTCTTTTGTTTTTTTTGAACGTAAACATTTGTTTGCCATCAACATCTTTTTCTGAGAAAAGATGTGTAGGTTTAATTTTTGCTTCATTGGTATCATCAATATCATCTTCATCATCTGATATTACATATATAGTAGTCACTAATGATTTTCTTGGACGTAATCGCGATGGGGTTTGCAAGTGATCTGCCTGCGCCCTTTCGTTTTCTTCTGTGTCTGAATTCATATTTACAATATCAAGGTTATTTATTACTGAAAAGTATATATGTACAACTGACAAGTGGTCCTAAACATTTATCATTTGAAGTATACGACAATCGAAAACCGATTAATTTAATGATTTCAAATCAATAATAATAATAACAATATAAAAAATTAATATAATTCCATCTATCAAGAAGACGTTATGTTTGTATCTGAAAATTCGTTACAACCATAACCTCAATTTTTGATGACATTCAATTCACCAACATGAAAAATCTAATTATAAACAAACTGTTTGTCCTTCGGCCATTTACTTGTTTTATATATGGCTTAAGGTCTTAGGCATCCAAGTTTTATCAGTTTTTTTACTGACCTCATGATATAAAGAAAAGTATATTGCAATAGTTAAAATACAATAAATTTATAGGCTAAAATTACATTAACTAGTGGGGCGCATGGCATCGTGCCTTAAGGCAAATTGCTGGAACTTTCCGTACCAAAAATTAAATTTTTAAAAAAAGATTAAATATGTTTTAAACTTTGAAAAAATTAGACTTTTGGGAAATTTTAAATTTTTGAAAAAAAAAATTACTTTTTGGAAAAAAAAACTTTTGAAAACCAAAATTTTTTTAGTTTGAAATATTTTGGAAATTTTGAACTTTTTTTCAAAGCAATCGCATTGCTTTAGCTGCGTAGAGCCGCAATATCGAAGCGCCTCATTTTTGACCTCAAAATAGCATTTTTTTTTACTTTATTTACTAGATCTCCGAAACCGCTAAACTTGCCTTCCCAGAAACCAGTTCTTCATGTGGTCAATACAAGAAAAATGTTTTTTGAATTATTGAAATCGGATGCTCCGTATATTCGAAACGGCTAAACCTGCCTATGCCAAAAACTAATCAGCACGTCTCCTTATTAATAGGAATCGAATGTTTTTTAAATAATTGAAATTGGTTGAACCGTATTCCCGAAATCGTCGACAAAAATTTGTATCCGCACACACACACATTCATACATCTATTTTTTCTGAAGTATGCCAAATTGTTCAGAATACTCTGAAATGTAACGATATATAAACATTTTCATTTTCGATTTTTTTGCGATTACTATAACTTGCCCTTAGGGGAGTTAAAAATGAATATACGACATTAAAATTTTCAATACACATGAAAATAATAAAAACAATTAAATGGAGCAAACAATATATTGTTATATTTAATACAAAATCTATTGAAGAGTAATGTTGTATAATAGCAAAAAATAGTTATGTTTTTTCATTAGTATTTTTGCTTTTTGAAATCACATGTTTGGTAATTGATTTTCCTATTTTTTTTTCAAATCTTTAAAATTCTGAATATTTTGACCAGTAATCACAATTAAATAATATAATTTCATAAATTAAGAAATATATTGTAAAAAAAGATTAAAAATCAATATTGTACTTAAACTGCATAAAGATTTAGTTCGATAATAATTTTTTTTCAATTCTATGTGCAAACAATTTTTTTTTTGTATAAGTACAGAACTATAAATCAAATACTTCAACAGACAAAAGTATTTTCCTTAAAGTTTGAATATTATAGGTTTTCAATGTGAACCTCCTAATCATTTTGAATCGTCTTAATTATTGGTACTGTTTTCAACAAAAAAAAAAAAACAATTTATATTTATAAAAAATCAGATGGTTTAATTTGTACCTTATTATCTAAGATTCCACAAAAATGATTAATTGGCACTGCATTGGCAATACAAGTTGCATGTATTCTGCATCATCTAAATTGATTCACCTGCTCATATCAAAATATGGCAGATTCTACATAAATTTCCACACATCCCTGTACTTTCGTTTTTAAGATATTTTAAAATGATCAAAAGGTCTTAAAGCAAAAAAATTGTAACAACAAGATGACATTTACTTTAAAAAAAATTTATTACCAAATAAATGATTTCGCATTATCAGCTTTATTATTCTAGATTTACATAATTTATGCTGAATAAATACAGCTAAAAACTCATTCATTATAATTGGACAATCCATTTTAAATTGGCAGATATAATTATAAAATTATACTTCATTTATTTTCAATCCATATTATGTGGGCCTGTAGCAAGCAAATGCTTATGAACACACTCCTCTTTATTAATTAGATGTGTGGTTTTATTAACCAATTGCATCAGTGAGGTGAGGCGACCTGCCCATTCGTTCAACCTATCAGATATATCCTAAAAAAAATTGCAATTTGTTAAATATTCAGTAGGCTTCTTCACTTCATCACAAATTTTTGATCTTCATCACAAATAATTTTTGATCTGTTTAAATTCCTTATAAAATAAGCAAACCAAAGTATTGTGCACACTGATTCAAAAAGAACCTGACATTAAACATAATGTGATGGTAATTATTATATATAATTACAAATGAATCTAATAAATTTATAAAATGATATACATATGTTAATCATTTAAGATATAAATAAAATTGTGTGCCGTGCATTGTTCACAAAACCAAAAATTTATTTACAGGTCTTGTTATAGCTTACCCAAAATGTATTTGCTGTCACAGAAATTGTAATTTATGTATATCTACGTTAGTTTAAGTTATGATATGATCATCATCCTAATATTAGTAAAATTGAATTTAGAAGTTATAAAACAAACCTGAGAATGAGAGAAGTGTACAACTCCTGTAGGGCGATCTGTTTTAGCTCTTACAGTACCAGAAATTACCAATTGTGATAAAATTTCTTCTGTCTCAGCTAGATTTAAATTCAAAAGTTGACCCATTCGTTGAAGTGATATTCTTGTATAATAAGAAGCCATAATTCGAATATTCTGAAAATATATTCATGAAATATTAGCACTCATTTGAACTGGATTTTATTATACATTTCTTGTACAAGAATAATAGCTTTTCTAAAACTCACGTAATAAAACTATTAATCATATTATTCAGCATAACACAATAATTTCTACTAATGTAAATATAAAACTGATGTATATAATATTATCTTTAAAATTTATATAACTGAGCATTGGTATTCAAGTTCAATTCATTTGATCAAATAACTACAATTCACTCAGAGAATGATTAATGCAGTTGCAATTTAAATAAATACAAAAAAAAAAGCTACATACATGTTCGACCACACGAGTCTTTAAATCAGCCCACCGTCTGTCCCCTTCTGTGGTATGTCCAAATACATGGCCTTTCCGCAGTTCTTTTTCATATAAATCACAAAGACCGGTCCATTTAATTAATTCGGGATTTATAAATAGACGTAATAATTCTCTGTAAAAATATAAAAAAATATAAGCCTATACAAAAAATATAAATTTCTTTAATTTTTGATATCATACTTATACAGTGGAACTTCTTCGAGCGATTTATCTAACATAACCCTATGACGCAGGTCTGATTGCTCATTATCATAAGGGGATAGCACAAGGTAAATTACGACATTTCTTAATGTTTCATGCAACTTTTCTGGGTTCTCTTGAGTTATAGGTGTATGCAAGATTGCCAAATAGTGATGAACAGTAGCAGGATGATTAAATTCATACTGGTCAACATCAATGAGTATTGAATAATACCGTAATTTCAATTCCTATGAAAGATAAATTGAATGTTTTTTAAATAACACATATCATAACATTGCTTTATGTAATAATCATTAATTACTTGTGTTGTATTGTCTTCGAAGTATTTCACATTTATCTTCTTAGATATAATTCTTGCACGTATTAAATCTTTTCTGGCAAAACAGAGACGCATTTGTTCTAACATCAGTTCAACTTTTTCCCGTTTATCCATTGAACCATAAGTTTCAACCTACAGTTATAATTTGTATATTTTTTTTTTTATTTTAAGAATAAAAGAAATATTTTATTGTACCTGCAGTTCTTCCATCAAGGCACTAGCCTCTTTAAGTTTTCCTTCCTTCTCTAATATATCTGCCAGTTTTTGTGTTAAACGAGCTCTTTCAACTTCTACATAAATTTTGCCCTCCGTAACATTGCGCAAAGTTTTAATAAACTCTACTTTTAACTCTTGAGTAGGCATTTGATCTACCATTGTGCAACATTCCTGCACCATTTTTACCACCGCTTGCTTTAGCTGAGATCTACAAAAAACAGTTTATTAATTGTATAATAGAACAACAGTTTATTAGTTGTATATTAGAACAACAGCTCAACTGAAGTAAATAAATAAAAAACATAAATGGACATAATGCCGAATATGGTAGATTAATTCTATTGATGTTATGAAAGTAAAACCAGAAATAGTTTTCAAAGTAGAAGTTCTAATATACCTAAATTAAATATGTTAATAAGGTAATTAAAATTTAGAACAACAGTAATACTTTATTTTTATTAAAGATAATATTGTGAAACTATAATTATCTATTTTGTTTAAAATATACCTGGGCTCAAACTTCTTCAAACTTTTCATTGTGATATTAATAAAATTTCAAATTTCAAAATAAATTTTTAATGCCACTTAAATTAAAACAAAATGAACATAACTACAACACTTTTTTGTTTAAAAATATTTATTAAAAGTGCATAAAAACGAAGTTTTGTTTGGCATATTAAATACAAACCTTCTCTTGGCTAACAAAGTGGCATGCTCATTTAAAAGATCCCATTTCTTTGCTTTGAAACATATTTGAACAACTGCAACTAAAACTCTTCCTGTTGATACCATATCAGCTCCCTACAATTTGAATTAAACAATGTACTATAAATATTTTCAATAACTTGTTGATATTTAGTTTGCAAAGATTAAATAATTCTTACAGTTCTTGTCTGTTTTTCTAAAGCAAGTAAATTCTCTAAACTTTCGTGAATCTTCCCTGATGCTGCTAAAGCTTCACATTCTGGTATTCTCTGATCACAGGTCGTACTGTAATCAACTTCCATTTTTATTACTCGACCAGTGTCAATAGAATTAAGATTCTCTGTGTTAGCCATCTTAAAGGAAACAAACCCAATTTTAATTTGCACAATTAACAAACAATATTAGATAAAGCAGAAATAGTGATTTTATCAAATTGCACACAAACAGTTCATAACCTCAATAAACATGACAAGCATTATTTTGAAACTGTAGTACCATTAAGAAATTTTTAACCTTATAATATAAACTATCGTTGAATTTGATGTAATGTATTTATACCTTCTATTTTACTATAATAAATAAGCGAAAAGTAACAAAATATTATTACTCTGACTTGTGAAAATAAGCACTTTACGCGTCAACTGCATAAATACAATTCATTCATATTCTTTAAGCGTTGGTAAACCTGTCATTTGACTCATCCAAGATACAGCATATCCAATATTCAACAAAAAAACAGGATCGAATTTGTCACAATTTTAAATATTTCACTTAGATAACATTTTAAACCACTTTTTAAGCGCGGCCTATTACTATTGCTTTCAATGTTTAGTAGCTTAACTACAATAATATTTAAATAACATTCCAACAAACAAACTTATTTAAATAATAAAAATAAAAATAATATATAAATATATAAAAATCCTAGTAATAAATTGCATTTTTATTTTATCTAGTGGTGTATGGCATCGTGCCTTAAGGTAAATTGCTGAAACTTCTCGTACCTTAATGAAATATTCGAGTAATATTAAATGTTTTCATTTCAACACAAGTAGAAAGTTTTTTAAATCATTCAAATCGGATGCTTAGTTCTCTCAAAAACTGCAATTTTTTGCACATTTTTCTCTGTATCTCCAAAAAAGCTGGACCTGCCTTTGCCAAAATCTAATCACCACTTCTCCCCATCATTGCGAATCGAATGTTTTTTGAATCATTCAAATCGGTTGATTTCTTAACATTTTGAGCACTTTTTGCTCCATGTTTCTGAAGCTGCTGGACTTGCCTCCGCCAAAAACTAATCAGCACATCTTCCTATCAATAAAAATCGATTGCTTTTTAAATTTTTTAAATCGGTTTATCCATACGCCCGAAATCGTCGACAAAAAATTGTCTCCACACATACACACACACACAAATATCCATTTTTTCTGGGGTATGCCAAAATGTTCAGAAACCTCAGAAACGTGAAGATAAGCAAAATTTTTCATTTTTGATTTTTGGCCCATTACTATGACTTACCCTATGGGAAGTTAATAAATATTCAAAATAATTACCCCTATCTTTTAAGCAGACGACTTTGCGCATTATCAATCTCAGCAGTGACTGCTCTCCTAATAGAACATGTGGATCTGGAACATAATTTGCGATTTCACATCCAAAAATCCTATTCTCAATTGTATCTAAGTATATTGTATTAAAATGTTTATTACTATTAGTTGTTGTTTGCTAAAAAGCAACCTAAAATATTTTATAAAATGCACATACATTTTATAATGCAAAATTCAAAAATTGTATTATTAATAATTACAAAATAATATATCTATAAATTTACTTTATAGGACAACCTCATCGGTTGTTCTACTTTCAAACGACCACTGCAATACCTTTTCTTGCCCAACAAGCCAAGTCAGAAATTAATAATTTAATAGCGATTTTAATAAAAATATAAATTTTTTTCATAAATATATATATATATATATATATATATATATTTCATATTATATGTATATGTTGGATTCCACTGCCCTAAATATCTTTGGTGCCGAATATATGCTCTTTTTGAATCATGTGCTATAATAATATATTAAAGGAATACATATAATAATGATCACTGAAGAAAAATAAAAGCATTTTATGATTGACATGTGTTAATTATATTATTTTTCTACTTACAATATTTATTGTACAATTAACAATAATGTGAGTAAAATCCTCATACCTATATATTTTTACAATATAAATTGAATTTCATATTATAAATACAATAACAAAAAATTGTTCTACAATGAATGTAGTAAAATAAATAGTTATGTAAAAAATTTCATTGTATGTACATATGTAGATATATCATGTGATTTTAGACTAGGTTATATAGAAAATCTTGCGATACTAAATGCATGTTAGCTTAAGTATATACAAATACAATTTTTAGAAAATGGTTTTAAGAATAATAATATATGAAAGGTTTATATTTATTTTTAAGTCAAACTCATGTAGCCTGCAAGAACTTAATATATTTCATCATGATGATAGCTCAATGCAAAATATTGGTCACATCAATAGATATTAGAAAACAATACCTGACAAGAATATACGAGTCATATGAACAAATTATATTATTACAATAGTATTGAGGTGCAGCTATCATCATAATAAATATGCTGTAGAAATAGTATATTACACAAAAAACATATATAAATACTCATTATAAATTTAAATAAAGTAGAAAATTAATTTAATAGCTTATTATCAAAGAATTTTCGAAAAAGTGTTAATACAATACTACTATTGCTTATTTATAGGCAGTATTAATGTTTTTTTGCCACTTCATCCAAGTACATACATAATATTCAGAAACATTAGTGTAATTTCTGTAGCAAAGTTCTATAGTACTTTTAAATGCATACTTTTTATATGATAAAACATATGAGTACATTATATATTGAAATTTTAAATATGAATTGAATCGAATCTATATCCAACAGATTAGGTATTACTTTTTTTAATTTTTTTTTGTTTCTTGCTTATAGTATTCAATATAAAAAAATATAGTTTGTACAGAAATGGATCTTCAAAAGTTTTCATAGAGCCTTGTACTTGTGTATATTCGAAAAACAAAAGCTAAATCACTTGTATATACAAATGTATATATATATATATATATATATATACCTTATATATACATAGAAATGAAACATTTCGTTTCAGTAAGAACACCTCAATACTTAAATCTGTTAGTAAATTGAAGTAAAAATTATATAATTATATGATTACTTCAACATGTTTCACATTTACTTTCATGTTCTATAAAATATATAACTAAAATAATACATACATATACATATATATATATATATATATATATAATATATATATATATACATATATGTATATATATATATATATATATATATATATATATATATATATATTAGGTTGTCAAATATCTCCCTTCCGCCTTTTTGTATTATAAACCAAGAGCAAAAAAGCGGAAGGGAGATATTTGACAACCTAATATATATATATATATATATATATATATATATATATATATATACAATTTGGCTTACTGTGTTTGCTATGCAAAATATTCAGAATATCTCTAGCAATATGGAAGTATTATATTCCCATCCCGACAGTTGGGTAGTTTTTCATTTACATGACAACTTGAATTATTTTAAAAGCCTCAATATTAATTGCCACGTATTTTTTTTTAAAAAATATTTTCCTTATATTACTTTTATTTATGGTGTTTTATTACCTTCACTGATTGTATAATAAAAATAAATGCTAAACAATCATATAAGTAGATTTTCTTATAAACTTATGAACTCATTGTGATTGGGTAACTTGTTAATATTTGAAACAGCTTTTAACTTCATAAAAATGTCTAAATATAATTAGTATTAGTATCTCACAAACACATTAAGTTGCATATATTTGAAGACATTTTCCTATGAGTTAGTTGAATATCAGATTTATTTTTAACAAGATTTATACACAATGTAGTATCATAGAACATAAAATCGATTTAAGAGGAAAGTTAATCATCTCATTATATTAAAACAGTTATTTACATTATTTACATATGAATATATAAAAAGCGTATATTTATGTTACATTGCAAGTAGATTACATAGCCCCTGGCATTCCGCTTCTAAGCTCTCTATGAGTCGGAGCGGAGCTCAGGCTGCTGCTGCTAACACCGGAGTCGCTAGATTTTTCGCTAAGGCAAGTTCCGCCGCCTCTGGTGTTAGATTCATTGCCTATAAATCTGTCGTCATTATTTCCACCTAAAAGGCCTTTTCTCGCTACTCTGGGCGTCTGACGATTGTTTTGCTGAGAACTTTGGAAGCCAGCAGGACACCTTTCGATCAAATCATCTCTGGCCGACATTAACTTTGCATTCTCAACCCTTTTCAAAATCTCATCTGAACATTTCTGAACGACTGAGTCTAAATTATCACCTTCGGTAGTGCTCAAACGGTTTGCAGCGTTCCTTTTGCATTCATCAGGAGCTCGATGGATCTGTGGAGACGTCTCAATGTGGACAGGTGTCCCGGAAGCGTCATAACAACCAGAATCGCGTGGAAAGTGGCGCCGGAATGGAGAAAAAGGAGGACGGCGGCTTCCGACGCGAAGGCAATCGTCGCCTTCGCTGCTTGAACCTGCTGCATCAGCTTCACTGCCAGCTAAAAAAATAATGTCTCAGTACTTCTTGGAAATGAGGTACAACAAAAATAATAAATATATAAAAACTTATATAATTAGAACAAGCGATACACAAAACACTTCCGAATCTATAATGTTATTTTTCAAGTATTTTAAGAAATCTATGGACTATTTAACTATTATTAAGTTTTGATTCAACATTATTTCAGCTACTCGATTTAGAAATAATTCGATTTTCTAATACTTACAATCAAGATCTCTGAGCAGTCTAGCAGCAGTTCGGATCCTAGCATTGATATCTCGATCTTCGCCATCATCACGTTGAAAAGATTGAGTACCGGAAACTAACAAATCAGGCAAAACTTCAACTCTCGAAAATGGAAAATGTCCAGTTTGATCACCGAGAGCTCCGTGCCAAACGCCTGAAGCGTGCATTGACAAAACGTCTATTATGTCCCCTTTCTGGAAATAGAAATAATAAAATATAATCTAGAACACCACTAAGTTAATTTTTTGTTAATTATTATGTGAACAGCAATCAGAACTTGAGAGTTTTATAAGCTATTGTGATGTTTTAACTAATTATTTAAGTTACAAACTTTTTGGTTTTGAAGTTTATTAGATGGCAACCCAAATAGTTGTCCATCTCTGTGTGATGAATTTTATTACTACTATTTCTGTAATACTGATAATTTTCTATTGATGCAGCAATACCAGGTAAGAGTTATTTTTACTGGGAAACATATTGATATCTTTATTTCCAAGTGAAAACCGATTTCACTACCGCTTGACATTAGGTAACCGAGGCAGATATGAAACCTGAGACACAACTTTAATGTTATTTATAGTAAATAATAGTTCACCTTGAATCTTAATGCATCTTTATTGTATCCTGCTGGAGCATGATCAGCAAGAGCTCTAGCCCTGCAGAGTGTGGGGCGAATATCACGAGATGCTCTGCTTTGTTCTTCTGCTGACAGGGAACTATGGGGACTACCAGCCCGAACCAGTGCCTGAGTACCTAGAAGTTAATAAATGAGTAATTGCATTATTATGGTAACTAGAGTTATTTATTAGGTAGATAAGCACACTTGAAAATGAAATCTTCAATATTGCATAAAAAAACTACATTGCTAAAACTTCCACCAATAAAAACGAATCGATCATGCATGGTCACTAAAAATAAATGAAATTAAATAGTTAAAACAAAATATTGTTAAAACAATTTCATTAAAGCTCAATATTATCTTGTAATATGAAATCTACTTTTAATAATAAAAAATATACGAACTTGATCCCGAAGCACTAGGCAAGCTTTCCACGGAGCTCGTTGAACACGGGAAAGGTTGATCCGGTCTCGTATTCTTTCTATTAGAATCACAACGTACGCTGCTACGTAATACATCATTATTCTGAAAAAGACAAATTTATATGAATACATCATACATAAACTAAATTATTATTTATTTCTTATATGTAATTTGATTTTGAATTATTAATATTAATAGTACCAATTTAAAATTTTGAGGGCAAGAAACAAGACTGTATTAGGAATGAGAGTAAAATACATAATCCATCAGTATTCCGAAATACATACAACATTTATAAAATAGATATATTTATTAAACATATTAAAAGATAGCACAATGTAATTATTTTTTAATTATTAATATTAATAGTACCAGTTTACAACTAACAGAAAAAAGTGTTGAGACAGTATTAAAAATGAGAGTAAAGTTATGATTGATGATAAAATATAAAATTAGAAAAAATGCAGTAATCAGTATTTGACGCAAATTTTTTATAGCGATTTCTAAAAATATTTATGCTTGTTCTACATTTTTTACTAAAAAGCAATAATTACACAGGTTCACAAAAAAGTTGTCTGTATTAAGTGAGCGGCATATGTTTTCCAATGTAGTTTTTAACGTTGAATACAAATCTAAACTCAAAATTGGGCCTTAAATGGCAAGAAATCGAAAAAAATAAAAAAGAAACGACAACATTTTCGATTTAGTGATTCTTCTGCATGATACTTAAAATCTTATAATTTCTGTCCCTTTCTTGAACCTTATTACCAAATGACTATCGAATATTCACTTAAATGCTCTACTGATCTTTTTTTTAGATTATAGCAGTAATTTTTAAACATCAGAATTCAATTACAAATACGTTTTCAGATTACCCAGGGGCAATGGGGAATAAATATGTTTGAAAATTACTGTTAAATTATACAAAAAATTCAATAGGTTTATTTGAAACTTATTTGAGTCATTTAAGGTTTTAACCTTAGAACAGGTCAGAAAACAACAGAAATTATAAGATTTTAATTACAACGGAGAAAAAATAGTAGATTGAAGATTTTGTCGTTTTTTAGTTTTGTTTAATTTTTTGCCAATTGACACCCAAAAATGACTTTAGATTCGTGTTCAATGGTAAAAACTACATTAAAAAATATATGCCGCACACATAATACAGCAAACTTTTTTTTGTCGGCCAGTGTTATTAGAAAAGTAAGAAAGCATTTACAAAAAAGTAATAATTTAGAATGTTAAAATAAATTGATATTGTGGCGAGCATAGCTCTTTGGTAGCGTGTTCGATTCACACGAAAGGTATCATTGGATCAAATCCTGTCAATGACTTAGAATGTGTAGTTAATTTGAAATCAAATAAAAATTGTATTTGTTAAATAGAATTTGAATAAAGCTGAAGGTTAAATAGAATTAGAAAATTGAAAGAGAAATTAGGAAGAATATAGAATTAGGGATACATAAATAGATTGAAAATGATATAAAAAATTAGAATGTAAATAAATAAGAATGTTGTAGGTGGCTAAATGCTCAGAGTAAGCGAGGCCAAATAAAAAAAAATTGATAAAATTTTGTAAATGCAGAAATGTATAAGATTTCCCAAAAATTAGGTTTTTATAGGCACTTGTGATATTATACGAGCAATATGCTTGAGCAAGCGCCAGCTGGGTCATTTAATTTATTTAATTTTATTTCTGTATATTTATTATAATGATGATTATTCTTACCAAGTGCGTTATTCTTGCATCTGCATCCTCGTAGTCAGAACTATGTTCCGATTCGCGTTCGTTGTATGGAAGCCTTCTATATGCATTAGAAATATGCGAATTATCAGTCACCACTCCAGTACCATTGGTAACCGCCACGATTTGCTCCTCGTACCGAGCATTACGGGTTAGTGGTATTACAGTGGGTGGATGAGGCGGCTCGTGAGGCAGGATGAGCCCACGTCTGTAAAGAGCGTGCATTTGTAAATTGAATTTATATAATATGATATTATGCATCATCTAGCTTTAGTCCGATTATATATACACATATGTAAATAAATTTTATTATATTGGTTTATGGAAATATTCCATTGGATTCCGTTGCTTTTATTTCAATTTATTTATTAGAATTAAAAAATATCACATATACATACAATATTATATATATATATATATATATATATATATATATATATATTTGTCTTTAACCTGTTAACCGGACAGGACGCATAAAGACGTCTTCGAAACTTACGTACGAATGAGGCGTATATTTTTGATCGACTATTAAACATGTACTTGTTTTGTATATTTTTGTACTTCAGAAATATTAATAATCAATATATATTTTATAATTTTTCATTCATTTCGTATCAATAATATATAAAATATAAAATTATAGAGACAACACACGCCCGGTTAACAGGTTAATAAAGACTTGATTAATTTGGTGCAAGGATCGCTATAGATTTATTCTTGTAGAAATGTGGTATATATACAAAAAAGCACTAAAATGTGCAGACCAGTTTTATCAAAAGTTGGCGCATTTTTTCAGGATTGTAAAATACTTGAGAGTTTCAATAAAAAAATCGAGTAAAAAATAAAAACTAAAATTAACACCATAACTGCTAACACATTTCGCTCACAGTCCGAATGTTTCTGCACATTGAAGCTTGGTAAAACGCCCAAGCAAATATCATTTTCAGGTTTTTATTTTTTGCTTAAAATTTTATTATGAAACAATCAACTATTTTACAAATTTACAATCTGGATGCGATAACTTTTGGTAAAACTTGCCAACACACTTTAGTGCATTTTTTAAAGGAGAACCTGTCGAATTTTGAAAACTTTAAATTCATGGTTTAACAAAAAGTCCTTACTCTTGAAAACTTGTGGCAATTGTGTTATTCACCGTTACGGTTCCAAAGTTTGAATTAAAAAAAAACACAATAAACAAAAAAACGTCATAGTTTGCCCAGGACCCATAATTTTCAAACTACATGAGATTTTCTTTTCTAATTTTTTTTAGGATAGTTATGATCGATACTGTATAAGACAAAAACCGTTCTAATGTTAATTCTAAATTGATTGAAAGTCATTTGAAGCAATGAACTGTCATAGTTCATGTTTGACTCTTATCGCATATGGCCTTAAATTTAAATTTCTTTTACTTTACCTGCTATGTCTGTGGGGCAGAGAAATGTCTCCGGCCGACCTCAACGAAATGACTCCAGCACCGTCCACGAGACGGAAGCAAACGGCCCCATCGCGCAGTTCACCAGAAGTTGGCATCAAGAAGTCTTCCGGGTCGCTCTCGTATGGAGGTTCATCATACCAATGAGGTCCCATACCATTGATCATACCACCACGGTTTGATCCGGTGCCACCACTCATACTGCCTGATTCGTAGTTGCTCGATTCATCTAAGAGGATTGAAGTTGGTAAATGACTTACTTTATTTGAAATTAAAAATTACTATATATATATATATATATATATATATATATATATATTAGGGTGGTCCTTAAAATGGTCATTTTCGAATTTCCTTGCTGCCACGGGCTCCAAATTGATAAAAAACAATTCTCTGAAAGTTTTAGCTCTAAATATTAACGTTTAGATAGAGCGCAATTCAATCAAAGTTTTGTATGGAAATAGCATGAAAAAATTTTCAAAAATTTTAAAAATGTTTTTTAGATGTAATTTAGCGAGCAAATGAATGAATAAAACTCATTCATTTGTCGCTAAGTTATACCTAAAACATTTTTTTTTTAATTTTGAAAATTTTTTCCATGCTCTTTCCATACAAACTTTGATTGAATTGCGCTCTATCTAAACATTAATATTAAGAGCTAAAATTTTCAAAGAATTGTTTTTTATCAATTTGGAACCATTTGAGCCCCTGGGAGCAAGGAAATTCGAAAATGACCATTTTAAGGACCACCCTAATATATATATATATATATATATATATATATATATATATTATGTTACCTAAAAGCTTTTATCATGGTTCAATTGCTAACATAATGTTTTATTTTAATTATTGCTTACATCCTAATCGAATTTATGCCTTTTATTATAATGGTATAGTTTAAATAAAAATCATTCAATTAGTGAACTGCAATATTTTATATGAACAATATAAACAATATGAACAATAAAGCGAACACATATACTACAAAATATTAGAATTAAATGAATCTTCACGTTTAAAACATAATTATTTTAAATTATTGTATTCAATTTCGTCATGACAGTATCTACGCACATTTTTTTGTTTAAGTGCATTTTAGTAATCCTAAATATTATTTCAAATAAAAAATATAAAAAATTAATAAATTAGAATATGAAACAAAAATTTGTTATAATACTACAGATGCATTTCCAACTTTCATCTCAATGCATCTAATAATAATAAGTTAATATGTGAATCAATAAGTTAAATTATAATGAATATAATTACACCTTTTGCCCAATTATGAATTTTATCACAATATATTTTCAAATTTCAAATGGCAATGAAATATACTTTTAGTATGTATTCCACCCAAACTTTTATAAAAATGGTAGAAATTCTCATCTAAGATTTATAAATTTGTTCAAATGTACCTGACAAGGCACCTCTTCCATCTCGGCTAAGCTTAGATAGTCCATGTCGAATATCTCTCAAAATCTGAAATTAACAAACAATATTTTATTAGTTAACAATTTGGTTGCGGAAATATATAATATAGAGCATAGAAAGATATGTGTAACATTGGACGACTAAAAAAATAGAACTCGAGCAGAATACTAAATAAGCAAGCAAAAAGTAAAGTAATATTTAATTTAACAGGCAATCAATTTGCTGATATAATTGAAAAAATAATTTCGCCTAATTGTATTATAATATAATCGAGATCTATAACTAATGACAAGATTTTTTAAGGCAGTATAGTATAATTGATATAAATGCGATTTGCTTTTACAATAAGCTTTGATTCATACCGTTTGAATTAGGTTTTATCTACCCCTCAAAAGAATCTTACCCAGCCGAGGCAACAATAAATTTTCTTTGCTTGCAGAAGTCTTTACGGATGCAATATTTACAAGTTGATTTACAAGTATAGGACTGTTGTATGTAGTGGTACATTACTATTGTTGATGTGGAATCATTTTACCGGTTGAAATCATTCATTCGCGATGAAATACGTCCGGCTTCTTCAATGGAAACGCAATGGAGCGTCCATCGGAAAAAATAACAGAGAAAAAGAGTCAACCGCACTCGGTTGCGATGGTTTTGTTAAAGTTGAATCTAAAGACTCTTATTAAAATTATTTGAATTAAATAAATTAAAAAAAAAATACCATAGGAGTAATAATTATATTATTTAATATGGTAATAGCCCTTCATATTTTCATTAGATAAAAGTCTTAGATAACATGCAATGTTTAATATTAAATCTCTCAAACGTGCTAAGTCTATAAAATATAGTTTTTATATCAGCTCTCCTCTGAAAAATTCATGATAAATATTCAAAATTCAGACGAAATAACCATAAAATCGTACTGCTGATGTCGTAACCTCGTGGCCTTAAGGCGTGTCGTTCTTATTGCGATATTTAGATAAAGGCGCTTGATTTCCGTGGGGAATCTATCGAGCTAGACTCACCATGCATTATGAAATACGTCTTGCTCGTGTGAGTTTCAGCAAAGTGATTGGTACCTTACACCTTCAAAAAATAAATTTATTTTACTTCTACAGTACCTACAGTAAAGCAGCTCTTTCAACGTTGACTACTTCGTACAAATATAAATCTTTTAATTAAATTAGAATCCAAATCAATTTATCCTTATTATATTAACAATAATATTTACTTTTCATTTTATACAAAATCGAATTATAAATGTTAATTTTTTAATCGTTAAGTTTACAGACAATGATTTATTGTAATTTAAATAGTTTATATATTCGCGGTTATTATTATTGATATAAATATTTGATTAATGCTAAAACTAATAATAATATTTATTTATTATAATAAATATTATTAATAATATATGTATCTATATACATATGTATAAAAATATACATACAAAATAATTTAACAGAATATTAAAAATTAATATATAAATATATTAATAATAATAATTATAAAGACTATATAGATCTAAATTACTAGAAAAAAGTTACATTATTATAATTATTAATATGTTATCCGAGAAATCTGCAATATTTTTCACAGTACTCATATATATTCATTACGGTGGAGACGCCTTGTACATTTGTACGAAAGTAATACTACTAACAGTAAGGAAGCTTTCTGCGATAATTTCAATTAGATAATGCAATACATAAGCATAAAAAATATATAGATATATAATTCCTACAAACTAATTCTTTAAAATTACAATAAATAATATACGTAACTATGATCAACTATAAACTTAACTTACCTCATCATGTTCTCGTTGGAATCTCTCTTTTTTTCTTATCGCCTCTTGTATTTTCAGCTGGAAAATTACAGAACATGAATATTATTCAACGAGAAAATTTATTCTAAATCGACTTAACAAGTAGAATTTTGCGCTTAAGAATAATTTGCATTCTAATTATTCCAATAACTTCAAATTAAGAGAGAATCTCAAAATCGCATTTAACATATAAAAAGAATAAAAAGTTGTAATTGTAGGGTTCATTATATAAAATATTTCACATAAGAATATAAATTAAGTATTTTTAGTGGCAAAATCTGTTTTAGTATGACTAACAAGTGAAACCAATTTAGATCTATCGATGCGAAAAACTTGATTCAGTTATTGCTTTTACCCAGCATAATTATTATTCATTATTTATAAATTATTGTAATGAAAACAATGCTTGGAATATCACTTTAATTAAAATTTATTCAAGTATATGTATACAGATCGTTGTTAAATATTAAAAACTTTCGGAAAGGCTGACAAATCATAATATATGAAATAACTTTAATTGAAAATCTTACCCTTTGAATAGTTTCTTCAAAACTAAATTGTGGTCCGCCATTCATTTGTTGCCGCGTTTTTTCACCATCGCGAACAGTCTGAAAATAAAAAATACAATCATGTTATGTTTGTTTTATGAATCCAAACAAAAGCAATAAGTAGTATTATAAATATTATAAGATATTTATTTCATTTAAGACAATTCAAATTTTCTTCGTCTTGTCGGGTAGATCGACTTCGCGCTTCGAAATAAAACATTATATTAGTTGAGCGTGACGGCGCGGGCGATTGCTCAGCCTCTCGGCCCGCTTTTATTTTATAATGGAACTAAAAAAAGCTTTTAACGAGCCATTATTAATCAACTTTTATATTTTAATATTGAAACTCAAATACTGTTTCAGGATGTATGACAAAAAAGAACATGTCCCGCTTAGAGTAATGGAAAATAGCAATATCGTCGACACACGTGCTCTGCGAAATATATGAAATGGTCAGGCATAAATTATTGTTTTGTAGTATGAATTGCAACGATATATATACCAGGATTGTAAATCAAGTATTTCATTAAGTAGAAAAAGGTTTGGTAAGAACTTTACATAAATATAAATAGAAAAGACAATCAACTGAATTATTCATACCAATAACGACATTCACTTCATTTTTCTTCCTTCGTGGAATAAATATTTGTTACCAAACGCACAAACTTTCCCCATAAGACAACTTTATTGCGTCTGCCCGACTGCTTTACAAGTATATATCACTATTAAAAAAAACTGTCGATATAAACAATGCGCAAAGCAACAATAAATCTTATAGAATTGATATATACAATAATATCTAGGTGGAGTTTCTAGCGAAATTCTTCGTGAACTCTGTGAAATATTTACCGCTAGAAAAATATGGCCGCAACCTGCCGCGAATATATTTGAACAAGTAATATATTTATACTTTTTCAACTTGAAATATTTCATTGTTTTCGTAATAGTATAAACTACTTTATTGGTGAATGAATTGTATGTTCTCTACACTATTTTCATGTCTTACGTGTTGGTGAAAGCATTCGTATTACCACCGTTGATAATTAGAAATAAATTAATTTACATATTCGACAAACGATATTAATAGAATATTATTATTCTGATACTCTAAAGGCGTGCATACAAAAGCTATATATCTATAATATAATATAAATTATATCTATAAATATAATATCTATCTATAATATAAAAATGAATCGCAAAATGTGTTGGTAAGCGCATAACTCAACAACGGCTGGATCAATTTGGCCTTTTTTTTTTTAAATGTTCGTTGAAGTCCAAGGATGGTTCCTTACGGCGAGAAAAAATAGAATAATTGCCCAGAAAACCCTAGCCTTTTTCTTTTTCACATACAAACGTTAGTATTTTCATATTTTTGCCATCGGAGCGTTTTGGGTCTGAATTTTTTTACTGTGCTCCAATTCGTATGAAATTTTGAAATTAAGTTTATCTTACTCTCAAGTTCAAAAGTGAAAATAATTTTGACTTCTTTGCGTTTCCCGGGGGAATGACATCCTTCTCAGTGGTGTAATTTCATTTTTTTCAAAATAAGGTCGGATATCGATAAAAGAACTAATTATAAGAAAAAAATGTTTTATAATGTTTTCCAAAAAACAAATACTCATTATTTTATTTAAAGCAGTTGTACATTTGAGATCCATATGGGTGGATGTATATACATTTCGGTATAGACTGCAGTGTAGAAAACATAATAATTTTTAACTAATTCGTAAACATCAGTATAAGTTATAAAAAAATTCGAACTTCTGAATTGTAAACATAAGTACAGGACAACGTCTGTCGGGTCATCTAGTTTTTAATATAAATAATCAAAATTCTGTGAAAAGCATTGAAAACAGTGAAAAACAGGAGTTTGTGGTAGGAAGGTGAAAATTTAAGGTTGTATGTGTTTTTTAATTGCAAATCACAAGCAAATAAAATAAAAGATATCTGTCCAGAAACTTAAAAAAAAAATCTTAAGCGAGGGCAAACCTCACCACTTGGGGACACGAAAAATAGATGTTGGTTGATTCTCAGTCATCCTGAACGTGTTTATAAAATGTCATTAAAATCGGTCAAACCGTTTCAGAGGAGTTTTGCGCCAAACAACATGAAACGAGAAATTTGTATATATATAGGAAAATAGTAGAATGTATAATATAATATAATGTGTCCAGAAAGCTTTATCGAGAGCTGATAGCATACTCAATTCGAGTCAACTGCATAAAAAGTATGATATATATATACAGTTAAAAAGATGTTTTATAAAAATAAACACAAAATTCCATTAATTTTGTCCAGAATAATATCTCTGTTTGATAAAAATAATCTGATGATACTAAAATGAGACGGCCATTAGAAACGGCACCGAGTTTAATTCCGAGACGAGTACAAATCTGTAGCCATCATTTATGAAAGTTGTGTAGTACTAGCACTAGTGCGGCTTTAGAGAAGAAATGTAGTTCAGCTATTTTTTACCTCGCCCTCGGGCAATCTCTTAAAAGCATGTTTCACATTGCAATAAACATGACAACATTGCAACTCCGGATGTCAACCGGAGAGGGCATAAGAGATTATGCAAGCAAACGGCGAACTTTCATCTGATTGACGTCACAACAACCCACCAGCCAGCCAACCAACTATGCACAGATAGAAAATCAAGAAAATGACTAAAATACCCGGAAAAATATGTCACAGGTGCACACTCGAGGCAGTCGTAAAAAGACATCCGGATTCGTCGTATTAATATCAAATACCGGAGATTATTCGAAAATGAAATGAAATATGATAGAAAATATTGTATATAGGCGTATCGATAAGAATATATGAATAGAGTTTTGTACATTCATAAATATAAGTAATGACTATGTAAATTATTTGGCAATACATTTTGGGATTTAAAACATTTATAATCAGGCGGATCGCAGATTCAGTCCCCGTTACGAACAACCCTAATATCGAGTAGTAGCGATATCAAATTCCACTTGGGAATATAATGTAGACCTTAAATATGTTTCCAAGTAATAATAGCCCTTTCTAAGCATTGTTGCACTAAGTTGAATAATAAGTCGGTCCTATTAGAAAAATTCTAAAAATTAAGAAATCAAATATATATGGATCAACCGTTGGCTTACCATCTAAAAATACGATGTAAGGAAAAGTTTCAGCCCAACAGCTTGTAGAAGGTTGTGATTTTTGTAAAAATATGATTTAAAAACATTTATTAACCAATTAACTGTGGCGCGTTCATTGAATTTTGTGCACAGTTTCGTGTCCTCTGCTTCAAGGTAAAATGTTGTTTTAAGGTACATAACATTTACAACTATTTAATTAATTCCGGTATAGCCTCGAAATATTCTAAATATCACAAAATTTGAGAATGTTTTTTTTTGTTTAAAGTTGCAATATACCCAATATAATAACTATAGTATACTCGTCAAAATACAAAATTCTCCCATTTCTCCTAAACAGTTAACTGGTTAAAGCATTTAAGATTATTTCGCTAATTTTTTGTGATTTTTTTTTTAAATTTAATATTTAAATGTATTTCTATTTGCAATTTGTTTGCATGCCTAAATATTTGTATTTAGTAATGTATTTGTATTTTGTAATATTTATTTTTAAAGTACATATTACAGTTAACACAATAAATTGATGCATAATTTAATAGACACAATAGATGTGAAAAATGACAGTGATATTTCCGTAGCCTAATGGTAATCAGGTTTTTTCGAATTTGGCTATAATTTAATTGCAAATAAATGAAAATGATATTTTCATATGAACATAGATTTTGATAAAAGAACAAGAAACTTAAATCATGCAACATTTGATAGTGTTATACCATTATAGAGTAACAAGTACACATTTATATTTATATACAACTTAATAACATATAACATATTTATTCACAAAATAAGATAGGTTAGTACTTAATAAAACTAAAAGATTCATTCAATTAAAATAAGATAAAATTAAAAACTTCTTGAATTTTTCAATTTCAACTTATACAACTTGACCTCTTAGTAATATTTCTTTCTTCAGGTAAATTGCCAGATGACATAATAACGGAATGATTCAATATTATTTTATTGTAATTTATTTTCATTTTACCTCATGAATAAAAATAAATTTTGGTTTGCAATCAATATACCAGCATCAAAAATAAGCAAAATAAATTTGCATATAAGCTTTATAAATATACCTTTTGATAGGTCCTTTGTCGAAATTAAACGAATTAAATTGAAATTAAACATGTTCGCTAGTTTTGATAAAAATTAAATATGACATAATATAATAATTATTCCTAAGATATTGTTCACTTAAAATAAAACATAAAAATGAACTTATATAATTATCGAGGAAATATATTTGTCTACATCCCCCCTGTGAACTACAACCTCTATTCGGTGCATCATATCGTAATGTTATATTGCCTCGATGAACGCTGTTCGCGTTTATGGCTAGGAAAAAGCGAAAAATCGTGAAAATAGCTGACTTGATTGAAAACACTATAATGCCCATATGCCGTTGAGAGTTTTGTTTTATTAAAGCCGTATCGACACGACGTGTTAAAACCGTATTGAAACTTTGCCAATATGACATGCATTGTTTGTCAACAAATTGAGACATATTAGCTCCATCTGGAATATCGCTGAAAGGATTGTGGCAGCCGATATAGTTTACTGGATGTAGGCGAATCACATAGTGTTTAATAAACAATGTGATATATATATATATATATATATATATATATATATATAAGCTTTTTTTGCTGTTTTTCAAACATTTGCCACCTGGTTCTTTTTTCTACATAGGCAGGGTAAAATGGGACGACCAGGTGGCAATAGACCTAATGTCAAACAACTCATAAATTTTTGAAAAGCAGCAAAACAACACATTTCTACGATGATGAATTAGGTGGGAGTTTTACTGAGCATAGTCAGATAGTTGTTTGTTTGATATGTGTTATTTGTTGTGATATTATTGGTTTAATTTTCACAATATAATTGCTCAAAGTCAAATTGGACCCCTGTGCCCCGCTCTACCTTAATACTTTT